GCAATCAAAAAATCTGAAACTTTCATAATAAGCTATTCTAGCTAAAGCCTATCTATGTGCAAAATTTCAAGTCGAAATTCGAAACTCAGTTTTCCTGAGAGGACCACAACATCCTGCTAAAAAATATAGTATCTCAACAGTAATAAGCTATTAGCTCAAACTCTTTTTAAGATACTTAAAGCTCATTAGAACCAACACGATGCACATAGTCCCAACTTAGAAGCGACTTGACATTTAGAAATATTTCCTCATAAGCTTGATACCAACATTCAAAATCCATTCTGACTTCAGCCATTTTGATGGTTTATACATATAAAGTATTATATAAAACTTAACATTTTTAGCTTTCTCTTGAACACTGAGTAATATATGTCATGAAGATAAATTGATCACTGTAGATAATCATTGATTTGATGAAGCAATTCAACGCATGTATGGATTCTTAATATGTGACATATGGTGTGAAACCAATTGAAGAATAAATATCGTGCTAACTGATCAACTTTTCTCTTGGTTCTTTTCTGTGTCTAACTATCCGTACAATTCTAGAGTTTCATGATAAAATAGATATAATAATAATTTTCTTATATTCTGAGAAGTCTATAATAAACTCTACAAAATCAATAAACGATTGTCTTCTAAGTGACTGTGTTAAATTTAATTATTTTCTAATAATAAAGAATGTCATATATCATTTTGAGCTTCGTAGTTTATTAATAGGAAATCTCAAATCATTATTTAAGTTTTCCTTGATCCTAAATTGTATGCTGACATATATATATATATATATTTTTTTAATTATGCCTCTTGCATGTCGCCTAATTCTTGCATATTCAATATATCTTCTGATTATTTTTTAAAAAAGAGTATTCTTCTTAAGTTTCTCTTGTACTTTTTTTTTAATAGTACGTCAAAATTGATGGAAGAAAGCAAGAAAAACTGTGATTTTTGTGGAAAAAATTATCTTAATTCAACAGCTGAAGATTCATTTGGGCGTCTTGAACGTACTCTTTCATATACTGCAGCAAACACTTTTAAATATGACCGTTGGCATACATTAATTGTATCACGTAATCATGATACATTACATTTAACAGAAGATGAAATTGGTGATATGTTTGAATTAGCAAAAGAATGGTTTCACAAAGCTAATTCAATTGAACCAACATATACATGTCCAGAGATGATTTGGGATGCAATGCCTAAAAGTGGCGCATCACAAATGCATACACATCTTCAAGTTAGTTTAGGTTTTGATATTTATTATGGAAATATTGAACGAATACGACAAGGTGCTCGTTTTTATGCGCAAATAAATAATGGAAGAAATTATTTTAATGATTATCTATATATTCATCAAGCATTAGGATTAACAATACCAATTGGAAATGTGTATATAATTGCTCATCTGGTTGGTTGATTGCTTTTGTTGTTGTTTTTTTTCTTCTTATTTTCTACTATGAGAAATTCTTTCTATTTTTAAGACGCCAATTAAAGATCTTGAAGTAATGATTATTGGTGAAAAACTGGAAAAAGATTTTTATAAAGCATTACATTTAATTTTTCGAAGTAGGCTGAAAATTTATTTTTGTATATAATTTTAAATTTTTATTTTTTTAGCCTTTGTTGATGATCTCAATGAATACAGTTTTAGTTTTGGAATGCATTTACCACCAATGGTAAAATAAAATCTTTTCATCATACTATAATTAAGAAAAGATAATTCACTAGTTGAAACAATAGTTACATTTACCTTATGTGCAATTAATTTTATTTTAAGACATTGTTTCTAATCTATTTTTCTCATTGTTAGAGTTAAGTCTAAATGGAGCCGATAGTTTATCCTAGGTATCGACTCAAATGTGCAGCTCGCTCACTCTAAACCCGGTTCATATCAGAGGTGAAATCAGTCTGGTTTCTCGACGACTGACATCGGTACCGATCTGAACAGATCAATGATGATATGAACCATGGATTCGAAAAATTGAGACGATTCTTTGATAAATTTCTAATATACGACTTTCCATCAAAAAACAACAGTACAATAGAATATTGATATATTGAATTAGATGTCATCACTCTATTCATTATCTCTTATCAAATTTTAATTTCAAGAAAGCATATCATTTCGTTATTAATAAAAGTGATCTAGAGTTTCTTGACTCATTTCTGCGATTAACTGTTGTTAAATGAACAGTTTTGATCTTGGTCGAAATACATATTATTCTAAGAATATCATTTTTTTTTGCTGATTATTTTGACAATCTGTATCGGTTTCATCTTTGTTTCTTATCGTCGGTCACCATGCATATTCATCATGTTCAATAGAATTTAACCGGTCGAAATGATTTTTAAAAAGTTTTTATCTAAAAATAAAATGATTGTGCATAAACAGGTGTAAATATATAGACTTAATACTAATCTATAAATTTTCATCTATAAAACTTATTACCTTAAATTTGATTTTGATGAACAATTCTAAGTTTTTCTTTTCTTTTGTTTCTATAGAATGAATCAACTTCGAATGGTCATGAATTACCCGTTAGCTGTCGTCTTGTTTTTCGTAATCCGGTAACCAATTTACGAGCAGATATGAATGGACTTGATTTGTATACGGTAAAATTCAATTTAATTCTATTATTTTTCAAAAGTCTTATTGTTATTCTTTTAGAGTTCTGTGATTGGTAAAGATCGTTACGTGCTGTATCAACAATTAAAAGAAGGTGTAACAAAACGTCACAAATAGGAACAAATATCAAAATACTTTTTTACATAATGAACGAAAAATGATAGTTGTCATGGTTTTCTTAAATATATATATACGCATCAACGATAATAACTTCATTTTATCTTTTTGTTATCTATGTTTTTTCATAATTTGTTTATTTACTCAACGAATTCAGTAAAAATAATATTCTTTTTTTTTGGTTTTTTACTTGTTTTTTTCTTGTTCCTGTTATTCAAAATTGACAGAAAAAAAATAATAAATATTAAAAGTCAAAAAATATATGTTTCATTCCATTCATGAAAAGTTAATTTTAATATTAACGACGACCTGGTGCAAATTTCGACCATGATACTGGAGATGATGAATACCTGCTTTCAGGTGAATCTTTGAGTGCTACAGCCAATACACAAGCACCAATCAAACCAAAAAGTTCAATTACTAAAATACCACCTAATGTACCACCAATTATTGGTAAATTCTTATTGAATAAATCGATAATAGCTTGAGCACAACCCTTAGAATCTAAATGTTGCTTACATTGTTTAGATTTTTCAATAAAATAGCCAAAATAATCCGATTCATTATGGACACCACAGCATTTCATTGAATTTTCCAAATCCTGGAAAGCTAGTATTGTAGCGTTATCCTTATTTTTCAAAGCAACATCTAAGACTTTGAATAAAGGTTCTTCAAAGAGACCTTTAAGTTTTCCTTTATAAACCATTGCCAAAATAAAGCCAACTAATTCAAGTAACATTAAAATGATAAGAATTATAGCATACGTAAATAATAAACATCGATTATTCCACAATGCTCCTATTTTAAGAGATAAAATAAATATGAAGTTGTTTTCATTTTACTTAACAAAAACACTTACCTACACAACCTAACAGTGCAACAAGAAGAGTAAAAATACCACCACCAATCATAACGAAAGCTAAAAATCCAATAGTTTTTACTTCAAAACTACCGTCAGTAGCCAATTTGCTGAGAACCGATGCAAAATTTGTGTCCACTTTGATATATATACCAATACCAAGAAGGGCAAGACCAACCAAGACAAACAATCCGTTGAGGAAAAGTAATACTCCTCGCATGCAGTCAGCACCACATGGTAATTGTCTGGACATCGTATATTATTTATTATTCTCGTGAAGACGTTAACAAAAAAAATTTAAGCGAAAAAGAAAAAGACAAAATAGTTGTGTATTCTTATTTTATAAATACAATATGAAAAGTTATGATATGATAAGAAAAACTAAAAAAAAAATGAATATTTGTTGACTTACCGTCACTCATATCATGTCCTGTCCACTTGATACTAACATGAAGAGAAATACGAATATAGATAACACTGATTCATCATCAACAGTGTCGAAGGACAAAGACAATGACGATCTTTATTTCACTGTTATCATGTTCGAAGTTCATCTGCATATCTAGAATAAACTAAAATATTAATAAACACACGACAATAAATAATTCTTTCTTTCTGTTTTCGATTCAAAATTATATTTAAGAAATAAAATTCATATTGTTTTATAAGATGCAATTATTCAGTTCGATTCTACAACAACAAAAATGAAATATCATTTCCATTTTCGATCGAAAGTGAATGTTACAACGTTTATCAATCACTCATTTTCATCCATACATTATAATGCTAAAAGCTTTCTTAATAATAGAAGAAGAATATTTATTTGTAATGATTTACGACAATGTAGATCATGTGTATGCAATCAAAATACGAAAAAGAAGCGTCTTTTTTGTCTTTTCTTCTCATCCGACCAAAAACCTACAGTATCAATGAATTGTATATGACAGAGATGTGCACTGATCACGCATAGGCGGAGGACGATGCATGAGCAGTCTACACACTATCAGCAAGTATGACTCATTTTTGGGCGTCTGCATCTTAATAATACCAGCTATAAAACTCTATTACTATACATCAAACGCTGAAAAGTGATGAGAAGAGATTTAATTGTTGATAAAATTATTTGTTTTGAGATACTTTTTGTTTTATCACCACATTACATACTCATTTATTAATTTTATAAATTAAATCATAATCAATGTTGATTAACAATTATCCTGATAACAAATAGATCTAAACTGAAAAATTTGTAAATTTTATTGTAATAAGCATAATACTTAAATTCATCTTAAACTTAAATGTCTGCAAATTTAACTACACAATAAGTTAAGATGGAAACGAATACCCCATCGGTATATATATATATATATATCCGACTATATCTAGCCTAACAAAATATTCTTTTGTGGTATTTTCAACTTTATGTTGTTGTTCTTAGGTAAATGTTCAGAAATGAAGCATTATTTCTTACGAAATATTATAGAGCAACTAATACAAGAAGAAAACTTGCGAAAATTTTTTTTCAGTTACTGTTAGGTGTTGCCATGCCGCTGATCGAAAAAATTCTAGACGATGGTCGCCTTCGCGTCGTTTTTTAGGCGCGGTGCACATCTCTGGTACATGATTCGCTGACATTGTTTCACCTTTGTATACATTTTCTTACTTTCTTTTTCATGCTAGTGTAATTCTTCGGAAAGTTCATAATATAAAAAACGTGGAGAATTTTATTTTTTTATGTGTTAATGAACTATGTTATTTCTGTCGGTACGATGTCGTAGCAATTAATGATGAACTAATAGCGATACAACGTTCTGATTTATTTTGTAAAAAAATTTATTGATACTTTAAATATAAAGGATTAGAGATTGAGCAAGTAAAACTTTCTATTTGATCTTCTACTATACTAATAATTTTATCTACGATGATTATTTCCGATGTCGAGCAAGTATATCAGAAAACACTACCAAATATGCTGTCAAAATATTTTCTGGAAGTGTTATTTGGCTTAAATGTCTTATTAAAGATATTATTCCATCTATAATGAGGACTAATGATGAACATCCAATATATAAATTTGATGTCGGTATTTATCGAACACTTATTTGATTTAATAGAAAACAATGTTGGTTTTAGTCATCATATTGATCTGTCATTGAATGGATTTACTGTTCTCATCTCATTATTTCATTTTTGAACTATGAATAAGTCAAGTACTATGCGAAAAGAATAGTTTTATTATACTTCTTTTTCACAAATATCAACCAGTTCCATTCTACATTGATCCAAAGCTTACTCAGAATTTTGGTTGAAGTGAATATCTTTTTCATAATGTTTATCAAATATTAATAAATCAACTGAGTTCTTCTCTAATGCATCCGTATCCTTTTTTGTCATGAAAAATATTTCTTTGTCTTTTGGAAAACATGATCTAAAAAGAGTATTGAAGTACACGGATAAAAATCTGAATCTCTTCTCTTCCCCTCCCTCCCCTATCACACAGATCGTAACAGACGTTGTGAATAGACGATCAAAACCTCTACATCAATAACGTCTCGTTCTAATATGTGAACTACGTCGTTATTGAATTTCTAGAGGATTAAGTAAAAGCGTGATCCAGAAATGTGTCCCTAAATAGATTGAATAGAGCAATCTCTCTGTGATTAGCAAGAGCAGTTACGTTGTGTTCCGTGTTTAAATCCCGCAGAAATTGCGTTAACAGCTTTTTATTATTGTATCTGCTCAATTAAGTTCTTGATGAACTTCACTTACTCAAGATTCACCACAAATTTTATATAGAGGATGACTCAAATGTCATTTTGCCGAGAAAAAAACTGAGTATCGCCGCTGTGTTTTGACCAAATGAGCTAACTCTCTCATATGTGCATAGTTCATATTCATACGAAAAACATTGATAAAAACTATTTTGAAGTGTCACCATTGGCCTAAATACAAAAATGCAGTTCATTTTTTTCGAGCAATTTTTCATACTACTATCATTTGGTCTCAAAATTTACAGCAAAAATTCATGTTTTGTTTCAGTCCTAAACGGTTAGCATTTGTTGAAAAATTTGTCAATGTGTCTCATGTGTTCGTATGTGGTTCATGTCGCGCAGAATTTTCTTGTGATGATTTTTCTCGCTATCATTTCTTGTTTACTTTAAATGTTGAAAAGTTAAAGATATTCTCACTTTCAAACTATTTCAACGGCTAACTAAATATTATCCAAGAGTTCAAATACAGCAAGATATGATAACGAGACAAGTATTATTAGGAATTTTGGTTGCGGCCACAGAAGAGTGTATGCGACACATTTGTAGTTTTCTTAACAAATTTCTCGACGTTCGTTGATGAAAGTTCAAGACAAACTGAAAAACAAAAATGTATCTGTGATGTAAATATGAGACCAAACACGTATTCAACGGTGGTACTTCAAAGCAGTTTTGTTGAATATAAACTGTGAACACACCTCTATCGGTGGTGAAAAAACCAGCCCATTTGGTCATACTATGGCGGCGATATTCAATTTTTTCTTGGTAAAATGACTTTTGGACCATCTTGTATTTACACTTTTGTCAATGTTCAGAAACGTATTGTTCATTAAAATCGAGTGGAACATTTCTTCACAGATCAAGAATTATCGTATAATCAACTATTGAATGATGTTAATTATTTCTATACCAACCATTCCACTAATTTTTCTTTTCTAACAGAAAGAAAACTTCACATGATTTAACCATAGAGACCGGTGCAGTCTTTTGGTTTCAATTGTTTGTCACTGATCTGATTCATATACTCTCATTTGACGAAGCCAAATCAGATCTTCTTAAATTAGCTCAAACATTCTATGCTAATAATGATCTTGAATTACGACTTATTAATCATTTTGATCAAATATATGAAACATTAAAAGTTTTAATCATGTTCATCGACATATTATGAGTTAACATCTTTCCTTTATAATAATTGTGATATTGTATATACTCGATTTGGCCGTTCCAATAAGGTATCTAATCATTTCAATATAGCAACGAGCACTATCATTCAACATTTGATCGTTAGTCATGATCTTTATGATGCGTCATTGAAAAATAAGGGAGACAGTTTTACATTGCAGGGTAATAGGAGCAGTGTTATGGAGTATCACAGTTTAACTGTCGAATTTTACAATCGAATTGGTTTTTCAAATTTTTCTAGAATGACTCAAATTTACTTTAATATCAAGGAATTTCATGAAGTTTTCGGAAAAAAGGACATAACTATTGAATATTATGAGTATGCAGTTCAAATCGGAACTCAAAAATCATAAATCATAAATCAAGCTATCCATTTCTTTTACAATATATGAGAGCTTTAGACGAAAATATACGATACCTATGACAGTACCAATTGAAGAAACTTCTTGACTTTGATAAATTGATTTATCTAAATTAGAAACGTAGCAATAAGGAAAATACTTTACTTCTTTTCCCGTTGTTCAAATTTATAAATAAATTCCATGCAAAGAAAAATGAAAGAATCTATTTCAAAAAAGTGAACGAAAATAAAAATACAACATTAAATTTATATCTCCAATATATCGATAAATAGCGGCATCTCTTGAGCAAATTGCACTAATCTGTGTAGATTGATTTAAATTATAATCATATCTAAACTGAAGTATGCAATCTCTACATCAATTATCCCTATTATCATAGCAACAGTTTCATTTTAATAAAGACACTCGTATTTTATGTTTACGATCGACAAAATTATACGCATAAACCAGTCAATCGAAATGGCAACATCAATAAAGAAAGAACAAGTAGATTTACAGCTTGTCCTCTTACTATCTTTTTCGTTCTGTCAAAAGAGGACAAAGCACAAATACTACTCTTTCTTATCTATTATCATTCTATTTTATATAACTTCAATCGTTTAGTATATTTTCATAACGTAGTATTTAATATGACATTGCGAAAATTAAATATCGAACCATTAACTCAAGAAGCTTTTGTTCCATTTGGTGATGTTATTGAAACTGATCAACGTCCTTTTAGAATAATTAACAATGGTTCAACTCGTCGTTATCATTGTCTTGCTCAAGTAGAAACAGCATATCCAGCTGATGGTGATCGAGCTATCATTAGTATCTTTCGAGCTCAGGTAACAAAAACGCCGTTTACTATTCGTATGCTTGAACGACATCCACTTGGTAGTCAAGCTTTTGTACCATTATTGGGTCGACCATTTCTTATCGTTGTTGCTCCACCAACCAATAACTCTATCAATAATGATACACCTCAACTTGACCTTATACGTGCTTTTATAACCAACGGTAAACAAGGAGTAAATTATAGTCGTGGAACTTGGCATCATCCTGTATTAGCAATCGGCAACGAAGAGGATGATTTTCTTGTTGTAGATCGTGAAGGTTCAGGTAATAATTGTGACGAACATTTTTTTCAAGAACATGAACAAATGATACTGAATTATCAATCATAATTACATTGTTAGAAAAAAAAAAGATATTTCAAAAAACTTTTTTTTGATTTAAAAATATAAACGAAAAAGAAAATAATAATCTACACAAGTAAAATTTAGAACACCATTTTTAATATTAATAAAATAATTTAGAAAAATAATTAAAATAAACTTATTACAAGAGAAATTTTATAATAAATTATAATGAAACTTTGAAATCAAATTCATAAGCATACACTATTTTATTGCTGTTGAGCTTTGAATTCTCGTCGTCGGCGATGTAAAATAAGTTCAGTATATCCATTCGGTTGTTTATCACCATCAATTATAAGTTCAAGTGCAGCTTGAAAAGCAATATTCTGATCAAAATTAGGTGCCATTGGTCGATATTCTAAAAAGTCTACATTTTGTCGATCTACAACTTGAGCCATTCGTTGAAGTGTTTGTATCACCTGTTGTTTTGTAATAATTCCATGTCGTAACCAATTAGCCATAAGTTGACTTGAAATTCGTAATGTTGCTCGATCTTCCATTAATCCAATATCATTTATATCCGGTACTTTGGAACAACCTATACCTTGATCAATCCAACGAACAACATAACCAAGTATACTTTGTGCATTATTATCTAATTCATGTTGAATTTCTTCAGATGTTAAAGTCGTAGTAAGAATCGGAATTGTTAATAAATCATCTAAATAGTCATTTGATAATGTAGATGAAGAAGTTAATTCAATTTGACGAGCAAAAACATCAATTTGATGATAATGTAAAGCATGAAGAGTAGCAGCTGTTGGTGACGGTACCCATGCACATGTTGCTCCTGCTTGGAGATGAGTAATTTTCTCTTGAATCATTGATGCCATCATATCCGGCATAGCCCACATTCCTTTGCCAATTTGTGCTTTTCCTGATAGACCACATTTTAATCCTACTTCAACATTATTCTTTTCATAAGCAATTAACCATTTTGCTTCTTTCATTTGATCTTTACGTACTAAAGGACCAGCTTCCATTGATGTATGAATTTCATCACCAGTTCGATCAAGAAATCCTGTATTAATAAAAACAAGTCGATCTTTAACTTCTTTAAGACATGCAGGAAGATTAACTGTTGTACGACGTTCTTCATCCATAACCCCTATTTTAAGTGTATATCGAGGTAATTGAAGAAGATCTTCAACACGATCAAATAGATATGAAGTAAAAGCAATTTCTTCTGGACCATGTTGTTTTGGTTTAACAACATAAATTGAACCTTTACGACTATTTTTAATCTTTTCTTTTCCTTTTTTATTAAGATCATGTAAAGCAATTAAAGTTGTCATAAGAGCATCAAGAATTCCTTCAGGAACTTCTTCATTATTTTTAGTTAAAATAGCATCAGTATACAATAAATGACCAACATGACGAATAAAAAGAAGAGATCGACCAGATAAACATAATTCATGACCAGTTTTTGAAATATAAATTTGATCGGAATTTAACTTTCGAATTATTGGTCTTTTTCCTTTCATAAATTGAACTTCTAAATTACCTTTCATTAAACCAAGCCAATTTCGATATAATTGTACTTTATCATAAACATCAACTGCTGCAACTGAATCTTCACAATCAATAATAGTTGTTAATGCTGATTCAATTAAAACATCTTTAATTCCTGCAATATCATTTCGACAATTATTTTGATCAAATTGTATTTCAATATGAAGACCATGATGTTCAAAAACAATAGCAACAGGCATATGTACTTCACCTTGATAGCCAACAAATTGATCAGGTGATTGAAGTTGAGTAATAGTTCCATTTTGTAAAGTAATCTATTTACAAGAATTTATTTAATTTTCATTATATCTAATGAAAGAACTTCTTCAGATGTCAAATGACTTTTCAATCAAGACGATGTTTATTTGATAAGTACTAGAAAAGTCTAAAATAGTTTGATTTTCCGGCGCATTTGTTCTTGAGACATCGAAATGTTACTAAGTTTTTCGTCCACCACAGATCAGATGGAAAATCGATTTTCGAGTTTTGACTTCAACATTTGTACCAACAAAGTTCTTAATGAGATTAGTTAATTGTGCAATTAATATTTCCTTTCGGGAAATGTAACTAACCGGTATGGCAAAAGTTTTTCGACATTCTTTACTTTGCATGTAATGATGTTCAACAATATGATAAAATATTGATCTTTCTTTTCAAACGATGTATCATTCAATTTTCTACTCGGATTACAAGACCAAATCTTTACAGCTATTTTTGAAATATTAATAGACTGTTAACATTGAACAGGTGTATCATCATGTTATTTCTCACAAGAAAAAAAATAAAAGAAAGTCGAAAATTGTTGACTTTTTGATTTTGACAATTATTATTCATTCATTTTAGTTATAATGTTTGGAACCAATCAGCGATCTAGTGTGACCTGCGAAGCATGAAAATTATTACTCATCTACATCTTAGATATACACGTGAAAAATAACGTCTGTGTCAATTGATTTGAATGCTTCGCTCTGAGACAAAAACATTTTTTTTTGCAGTGTTGCTCTTAAATATATCATTTAAAAACAGTGAATTCGATGCAACAGCAATATATTAAACTTCCTCGACCGTTGAAAGGAATAGTAAAAAAAATTAAGCCTAACAAAATAATACAATGAGAGCTTGGCTTTAACTGAATTTACAATGCCTGAAACAGACCATTTTTTCCAATTTATCCTTGCAGGAAATAGCACGATGACTGACACACTTGTTCTGTGTTAACAGTCTATTAAAACTACGAGAATAGCTATAAAGATTCGATCTTATGATCTGAATAAAATATCCAATGGTGCATCATTTGAAAAAAAATCAACATTTTATCATACTCTTGAACTGAGATACATGCAAAACGAAGAATGTCGAAAAAGTTTTGTCATACTCATTATTTACATCTCCCGAAAGGAAATACTAGTTGTATAATCAACTAATCTCATTGAGAACTTTGTTCGTACAACGCTTGAAGTCGAAAGTCAATTTTCTACGTGATTTGAAACGGATGAAAGATTCAGTAAAATTTTGATATTTCAAGGACAAATCTCTGGAAAAATAAATTATTGTAGACTTTTCTCTAACTCATTAGTATTCATTAAATAAACATTGTCTCAGTGAAAATACCGATTTGACACCTGGAGAGATTACCTCATAAGTTAATGTCTTACTTTAAGTTCACCACTCTCAATACCATATTTCATAGCATCAACATGTGAGAAATTATTAGCCAATGGAATAGATTGATCGAGAAACTGTCTTGTAAATGCAATTACTTTTTCAGCTCGTTTTTTATTATATTCCTTTGTTCTTTCACAACCATCACTTTCTGATATAACATCAGTACTATATAAAGCATCATATAATGAACCCCATCGAGCATTTGTTGCATTCAGTACAAATCGAGTATTCATTAGTGGAACAACAAGTTGTGGTGCAGCTTGAATAGCAATTTCATCATCAATATTTGTCGTATTAATTTGAAAATTTTCATCATTATTTCGTGGTAATAAATAACCAATATCAAATAAAAATGCTTTATAGGCAGCAAGATCTGTATGTTTTCCTTGATGAGTACGATGCCATTCATCAATTTTAGCTTGTAAAGAATCTCGTTTTTGTAAAAGTCTACGATTTTCTGGTGATAATTCAGTAATTATTGATTCAACACCAGACCAGAAGGTATCTTGATTAATATTCGTATCTGGTAGAACTTCTTGATTAACAAAATCAAAAAGAATTTTAGCAATTTGTAAGTTTTCAGTCCGTACACGTTCGTTTGTCATTGCGATTTTATTATTATTTTTCTTTTTACCTTATATTATATCACCTGAAAGAGATATAAAGAATAGCACATGACATTTAAAAACTAAAAAACAAATCAGCAATTTGATTATTTTAGGACACGAATAAACCGAAACCTTTTAGTATGATATCAGATGTCGCTATATTCAATTGTTGAGTTTTTTTTGTTTTGATGAGTTTATACAAATGAAAATGAAGAATATTTTCGTAACGAATTGATCCAATTGAGAAACACATATTTCACATCAAGTCATCGAATAAACAATCTTAAAATCGTTCTCATCAAACATGAAACATATAGAAGTGACAACATTGAGTTAAACGAACATCTATGTCAAAGATAAATGTGTTGATACAATCCTATGTCCTCGAAATTACTACAAACTGTAGAAATTATATTTGACTCTCAATTTTACACATTTGAAAATATTTCTCTAATTAATTGACGATTTACCATGAGTTACTGGAATTAATGATTAAATTCGATGTTATGCCGACTTTTTTCAAAAACACGATATTTTCATGACATAACGATACATATTATATGATACTGCTCAATTATATATCGGTCACATGCAAACGATCTTCTTAGTTTAAGTTCTAAATGTCTATGATTAGATCATATGACAATCTATCAAAATCTTTAAGTAAATTTGAATTTATATTGAATACTTCAAACTTTTAGATAAACTGAAGTTAATTTCATTTAATTGATTTATCAATTTTAAAACATATTTCTTTACAAGTATAAATGAATTAGTTAAAATTTAATAATAGTACGTTGTTTATTAAAAATTAATTCAAAGCACGATTTGAATAGCAGCAAAAAGAATTATAAATGAAATAATTGATGGATATACATGTGTTCCAGCTGAAGTACGACGTGCACTACTTTCACAAAAACTATATCCATTATTTTTAGCCGTTATTGTATTACTATCCGAGCTAAGCGTATAAGTGATTTGTGCACCTCTGGCTCCTGTCGTTGAAAATGAATAACTATTTGGATTTGAAAATGTAGATGAAGATGTGGATGATGAACATCCTTTGGTGCCTGATGTAAAGATAAGATTGGAACCAGAGGCAGCAACAGTTAATTTATCAGCATAACAACAACAATAACTTGATTTACATTGATCATTCCATGCGAAAGTACCTGTCCATTTCTGCAGTTTAACGACTGAAATAAGCATACACATAATTAATAACACGAAACCTATATTAGGATGCATAGCAGTAATCAATTGTGTTTGACGCACAAATAAGATTTTTAAAAAAATGTAATTTTATGTAAAATATAAAAATGATTCACCTTTATTCCATATTATGATTAAATCCTATATGTATTTGTAACATTCTTTTGAAAGTACAATGATCATCCTAATATTTTTTTTTTCTTCAAAGGAGACAAATGTTTTTTTAGTGTGTTTTGGACAATATTGATCGAATTGTTTTAATTGATAAATATGTAAGTATAATCTAAAACTCAATAGAATATATACGCCTATGTAAAAGATAATCGAAATCAATCAATAATAAGCTTGACAAGTAACATAGATAGCTTAACAAAATATACATCAATATTTCTATGTAACATTCAAACATCAAATCTTTAACAAACCAATTAATAATTGATAATTCAATCTTCAGAATAGTTATTATCATTATTATTTATTGGAATACGTCAAATGTTATTTTATGCGTGATGAATATTAGGCGGCATCTATAAAAGACACCAACACCCACAAATTGGCAACTGATACCATCAATAGATCGAGCTCGTCGAACTGATTCTGCGAACACTCATATCTTTTACCAGTGAGTAGACCGACTCGACTTAGGCACATATCGAAAACATTAGGTTTTTATATGCTAGCCTTAGAAAAATAGAAGAGATATATTTTCTTAATTTTAAGCCTTATAATTGGATTTTACACATAGCTCGTGTGAACATGCCAAATCGGTCTCTGTTATCAATGATTGTATTTGACAATACAGGGTATCATATATGCTAGCATCTGCATGATATCTCCTTCATCTACCAAAGAATAGCATGATCTCAGACAACCATATGAAACCCAATGCTCAGGAAAGAATAGGAAGAGGAGCAATATAACGTAGATACCAGTACAGCAGACCAATAATAGAAGGACAGCATGAAAAGAAGCAAACTAGCGGCTAAAGAAGAAGAGGATACAACGTTGATACTAGCGTAGATGACACTCTATACTATCACATACGGTTATTGATTATATAGATCAATTCGACATGTTCACACGAACTATATGCAAAATTCAATTCTAAGGCTTAAAATTGAGACAATATATCTCTTCTATTTTTCTAAGGCTAGCATATAAAAGTCTAATATTTTTTATATGTGCCTAAATCAAGTCGGCCTATTCAGTGGTAAAAGATATGAATGTTCGTAGAATCAGTTCTGCGAGCTCGATCTACTGATGGTATCAGTTGTCGATTTCGACGGAGTCCGAGTCTTTTACAGATATCCAACATCAAATACTTTTGGACAATTTCATTTAATGAAAACATAATTCTACATTCGTTGGACACATTGAAATTGTCTAGCATTTTCTCGATTTTGAATATTATGTTTTTGAAATGATCTATTATTGTAAAGGTAGCTGTTAATATAAATTCTAAACTCTTATCCAGCAATTTTTGAAATTAATTTTGTTACTTAATTATAGCGAATGGTCTTGTTAAAGGTAAACTAATGAGAATTATGAAAATATGTCCCACTATATTACTTCTATTCTTTTTTTTATTGAAGATAGTTTTAAAATCGTTTTAAACAAGATAATTGATTACAATTATTGAAATATAATGCATGAATAAGGGATGGATTGAAAGTTTTGAGATAAAATATTTGTTTATTTTTGACTACTTTTAAAGCGTTTCTGAAAAGTCAAAAGATATGGATTATGACCAGAATTTTGTGCTCTTTTCCAATGTAGACTTAGAAATTTTCTTCATACCAATAAGATGATTTTTAGAAAGACCTAAAAAAAACAGTTTAGATGAAAAATTTTTCCGTACACTTTTGTACTTTCTTATTGCAACTCGAAAGTAAATGTTGACGTCTTTATTAATGTATCAGCTTGTACAGCAGAAGTTATCCTTTAAAATGTACTATTTGAGTTCTTTTTTTACTTTACAGGTCGCTTCAATTTTCATTTCGCGTAAATTTTCATTTTTGAAAAATCGACTTTTTGACCAAAAAGCATTTTTTTATAGAAAGGAACTCTTGACTAAGTGTCTATAATTTCACTTAGGTAAAAGCCACAGTTTAGTTCAGTATAAAATTTTGTAAAGAAGTGTCCGCTCGATAAAATAATCGATTCCAATAAATTTTGACACCTTCAAAAGGGGATTAGCAAAAGCCCATTAGTTTATCATTCAATCTAATCTTTTAGGTCTTTAAAAAATTCCTTCACTACTCTCGAACAAAAATTGAGATAAAATTTCTAAGTTCGTATTTGTAAAGGACATAACATACTAGTTCTAATCCATAGCTTTTGACTTTTCAGCAACAGTTTCAAGAGAGTCAAAAACGAACAAATATTTTGTCTCAGAACTTCTGGCCCAATCATTATTCTTTATTGGTTATGTCAATTGATTTCTATCGTTTATTTTTGATATAAATAATAGTAACAACTGGTACAATGCCAACGATCTTACTTTAAAAAATTATGTTTTGATTCTATTTTTATTCATCAAATTCACATTGACTATTAATTAGCTTTTGAAAAAAGAGTGTAATGTACCATATTACTTTCTCCATATGTTACTCATGAAAAGAATGGCTCAACCAACGCACACTTTTGTATGTCTGACATTAGATGTTGAATAAGAGTTCACTCAAAAAAAAAAAAAGTAATGATCGATACAAAACGAATGCTATTCGTTGTCAACATATTGCTCATTACGCTTCAGCAAATTCTTATACAATAGACGTCAACGGTGCCAAAGTTTTAAATAGGAAAAAGCAAAAAGGAAATTTTACTTGTTTTATTTTTCTTCTTATAGTATCATCTTCATTCATCTGAACAAACGCATATAAACTAACTGAAGAACATATATGCATATAACTAAATATTTATTATATCATCTTAA